TCTGTAGCGACCCCTAACACAGGGAGCAGCCGAAAGGAAAAAAAATAAAAAATCTTTTCTATATTAAATGCACTGATGGTGTTATACTATTTCTGAACACCTGCATCTGTATTGATATGGATAATGAAAATAAGCCTCTTGCAATAAGTAACTAGCTCCTAGTGTTAACAATGAAGCATTTAAATTGAAAGTACATTGATATGACAAAATGCTATTGCTATATTGTGTGCTAAGGTGCAGTATTAGGACCTTTAATATTCGGAATATTTAAGAGTACTCAAATAATGAGCTTGATTCTATTTATATTATGAACTTATATTACTATATTAATGATTATAATGTCTCACGTTTTTCTAAAGAACATTACCAAAGCTGTTGTTTTATTCTATTTTTAGAATGTATAACTGAATATTTTCTGTCAAATATTTGTATATTTAATAGAACAGAATCTGCTTTGGCACCAACAGATGAGCTTAAGGGCTTGCAAGGCTTAATTTTATTGTGACCATCATGCACAAAATTTCAAGTTTAAAGTTGAGCTTTCCTGTTGTCACTATCATGAAAAAAGAATGATCTTTTATCAACAAAACACTCCCATCAGCAAAATTAGATATTTAATATTAGAGAGCAGTTTTATTGTATTGATTGATTGATATTGATATTGTATTTTATTCTGTTGTAACAAATGTAACAAGTAAATATGCTTGATCCAGTTTTGAAAAGAAAAAACAGGATATCAGTAGCTAGATGTTCACTGACAAGGCTAGGAATTACAAGTAAGATAATCTTTTATGTATTATTTAACCATGGGAACTAATTTAATGGGAATCAATTCTAATTAAGTGCTAAAAGTAATTTTATCACAGCTGGTATCAATACGTTTTGTCCACTGGGTAGTTAGATTTTTAAAACTAAAATGGTTTTTAAACTAAAAAGGTTGGACAAACCTAAGTCAGAAACATTTTCTGTGACCATGATGTTGATTTATTTGTTTGTATCAGGAATTTAAAAAGTTTTGTGTAAACACAAACACAGTCTCAGGTAACATGAAAATGGATCTTATGTAGAATCAAATTACTGAATAAGTCCTGGAAAAATAGTTCATTAAAAAATAATTGAATACCTTTATTATGTATTTATTTTAAGCCTATTTTTTACTCAGTTTGTTGTTTTCTCATAGACTTTCAATATTTTATACTGATGATGACATACTGTATGTTTTTATTATTGGACACATATTATTAAAATTACCATGCCATTTCCTAAACCTACTCAAATAGCTTTTTTCACCTTATCCTAGTCTATGTTTTTTTTTATTGTGACAGCCATCAGTGTCTGTTTATTGGCCATTCAAGCATTAAAGTGTTTTTCAGTGAAAGGAAAGTGACAAATTAAGTCCTTCAGAGACATTTTCTTTTTGATGTATGGCGTTGCATTTTTGGTAGTGTAATAAATGGTAGTGAAATAAATTAAGTCACTGAATGAGCACAGAAACTAATAAAACTTCCTAAATGTATAAAAAGTCCACAGAAGTGCTAGATAAAGAGAAACTTTATAGTCTTGTTCACGATCAAAAAACTAAACAATTCTTCTAATCAGTGCACCCAAACAAACTTGTTAATAATACTTCAAACTGCAACTGTTCAGAAATTATACAAAGAAAATTATTCTTTTTCACAAGTCCATGTGTTAGAATTAGTTTGATTGTTTCCCACTTTCCTAGTTCCCTGATTTGTTATCTAAATGGTTAAGTTTACACAGAATTCATATTGTCACATTACTTATTTAAATGTGGTAGTAGACCTGTTTTATCTACTAAATAATAGAGGAAGGATTTTATGCATTCTCCTTTGATGTGATGTACTTTAAGGTATCATCTGTTATCAGGACTGTCACAGTTAGTCTTTTTTAGTATTATAATTTGGTCTCAGTTACCATGCAGCCTTTTTACTTGTATCAAACCTTGTTTTAGGAAATATTCTTGGTCTGAATCGTCTCTCATCGGCACATTTATTCTTCTCGGTTCAAAATTTTAATGATTATTCTGAACGGAACCAACAAAAATGGCACATTTTCCTAAAATATAGTGGAATTTGAAAAGTGTGCTTGATCACAGCCTTTATGTTCAGACAACCATCTGAAGGAAGCATATTACCTCTCTGATGCTGATTACCATGACGGCAGCTGTTTTATTCGTTTTTCTTTCTTCTTTTTCAAAGTAGCTCATTATTTTGTACTATAGGTATCTTGATTTGATTATTCAAAAACTACTTGTAATGCATTCAAACTGCCTAATGTTTCTTTTTTTTTCCTTTTAGAAAAAAAAAATCATGTCAAAGTAGTCTTCAAGTTCATAAAACTCTATCTAATTTGACTTTAAAATCTCTATAATCAAAGTAGGCCAGTCATTTAAATGAACCTTGGTTGAGTTTCAGATGAACCCAGGAACAATTCCCAGCTGAGACAATGAACCTTGTTTAGGCCTTTGGTTCAGCGTGCAGCCAAGATGCAGCCCCTCAAGGTCCTAATGCATCCTCAAGGGTCCTCCACCTGTTCTCTGCTGCTTCGGTCACCATGGAGATATGTCTATTTCAGCAAACGATAGGGTTAAATACGTACACATTCAGTTGAGCCTGAGCAGCAGCAGCAACATGTAAACACTTGCTGGAACAACAGCCGGCATGAAGCAGGAGTAGATGTGATGCTTTGATATGCTTTTAAAACTCACATCTTTGCTCTTCATTATTAATTAAAAAAAAAAAGAGAGAAAAAGAACCATGGAACCATCTTTAAATGGCTGTTTGCTGAGGGACACTAAATGGGATACAAATTGATGTGGGTGTGTGTGGGGGAAAGGGGGACAGAAGAGCTGGTGGAAGGATGACATAAATGTAAAGGCTGAATAGAATTAAAGAATTAAGCAGCACTTGATATTCTTCAGACCCCTGAGCCCATTAGGAGCACAGCGCTCTCTCCAAATTAGAGTAATGAGGAGTTTGGTACCCAGCTACATGAAAAAAGACCAGAAGGAAGGAGGGGAGTGTAGGATCAAGGCAGAAACACATGATTCTTTGAGAGAGAGCAAGAGAGTGCAAAAAGCACCAGATTTCAGTCACAAGTGTCTAATTACCCCTATAGGTTCATGAACAGTTGGCTGATGAGTTTGTGTGCAGAATACGTCTGACACACTCAGGTTTTTAAAGGCACAGGAGCGTAAACACAGCAGGGAGAGGTGGGAGCAGCGTGTCCGTGATAAGAGAAGGATGGAAGCAGGAGATTAAAAAAAGATGGAGAGAAAGAGAGGAGAAATTTGAATCACACATGGCAGCTATGATCCCAGCATGTGTCCATCTCTGTCCCAGCCAGACCACCCGCCTGGCCTCCAGGGAGTGTGTGTGTGTGTGTGGAGTAAGACTGACAAGCTTGTGCTTTGGTCAGCAAGCACACACTCGTGCTTGTGTGTGTGTCTGTGCACTGCTGCGTGTTTGCACGAGCTCTCTCAGCAGGAGTGAAAGCACATGGGATGAAGGGCACGGACGGCTAAACACATTTAGTCATAAAACAATCTCTCAGCAGAGGTTTTTCCCAGAAACTGTCACAGATATGCGTTTTTAATTGAGAGAGAGAGAGCAGTTGCATTGTTTCTGAGAACAAAAATCAAACAAGGAGGAGAACACCTGAATGCAACTTCATCAACAAGATTTAATGAGAACCTCTCACCTCTGGCTGATTTGGAAAAAAAAAATCTTTATGGCCTCGTTATACACAAACGTCAAGTAATCGAATGAACATATGTCCATGTAAATCCTTTTGAAAATTTTATTTTATTTGGTAAGAGCATAAAAACATTTAATATTTGCTTTAATGAGGTGTAAAACCATGATCCAATGTATTAGGAGATGATTGTTGTATTGTGGAAAACAATTCAAAATATATTTTGCTTATCTGCTTGTGTGCTGCAGTATATACAAAAATGCATTTTTATCCTTCATGTCATGCCAATACATTTAGATTTAAGGCCTAAAGGTATAAAGGCAAAATTTTTGCTTGTAAAAATGAGAAGCTTGTTGCATCCCTAAAGTAAATTGTTATATTTTCTTAAAACCAAAAAACCAAAGACAATAAAATATTGCCTTTTGTTTTTCTTCAAAAGTATACCGACCAGCCTTCACTGTAAAACACTTAAATTAGATTTTTAATGATCTAAAACAATTGTTTACACAAGCTTAAAAAGAAGATATTTAGCTGTTTTTGTAGTGATCCATTACAATGTTGGGTATTTCATACCGAAGCTCATAAAGTACATGCCATATTTTCCGGCGTATAAGTTGCACTTTTTTGCATAAGTTTGCAAGTCCGTGCCTTATAAGCAATAATTCACCACAAAGCCGAACTGCATGAGTGTTTGCTTTAGTTTCTACTCTGAAGAGCTGAGGCTGATTTTGAAAGGAAGCAACCAAATTCAGACCAGGCTCCAAACATGAAGTAAAACAGATTTTTTGGGGCACATAAATGTTACCAGATAAATGTAAACATTAAGCTGATCAGAAAGATCAGAACAAGAAAATGAAACTCTGGGGCTGTTTTTACTGAATGAGGGATGCAACAAGTACAATCCAAGTGAAATGACTAAAAAACTAGAACTAGGAGTGCAGGAAGATCAGAAAACAAGAATAACAGAATCAAACCATCTGGATAAGCAAACCAGAACACAGAGCGTTCTGTTACAGCTCAGTCAGGGAAAGGGAGGGTGGAGGTGTAAGGTGTGGTGCACTCAGGTTTCTGGTCCATCACAGAGACAACCACTCGTGCTCAGCCTCACTTCTAAATGCAGTCGAATCTTAACCTAACATGCATGTTTTTAGAGTGTGGGAGGAAACGGCAGCACCTGGAGAAAACCTACACATTCACAGAAAACATGCATTCTCTATATCAAACAACTGTATGACGTGAGCCATCTAAAGGTCCCTGGTTCGATCCCGGGTTTCGGCACCAAGCTGTTACGACGTGAGCTGGCTGCAGGCCACCAGACCCGGAAACCCGCCTCCAACCCACGTCGCTCCCCCGGCTCGAACCTCCCTCAGAAGCGACAACTCACACTAACAATAAATCAAGGAAGCGTGAATTCAGTTTTACCAATTGTATTAAAATCAAGGCAGGAAAAGGTTACAGTTTACAGCGCTGGTCAGTCCGGTCTGTGACGCGATCACAAACCAGAAGGACTGATGTCCCGTGCCATTACTGATTTATAGGCCTCTAGCCTCCCCCTTCGTAGAAGGGGAACTCAACCTGTCACGTGTATGAAGGGGCGTGACTAAGTGTGATCTCAACGGATCTTACGTGGTTTGACCTGTAAGGAAATATGAGCCGGTGCTTCAAAAGCCTTTCTACGTGATGTAGCAAGCAAAAATAAACTCTATTCCTTGACGGATATTGAATCCCTGGGAGACTCTTTTAAGAGTTGCTGGCCCATTTAACCCAGTCAGAACCGGGTCATAATTTCATTATAATCCCGTCTCTGAGCAGATCAAAAACCCCAGGACCAGTCTAGATAAATATCTAGCACAACTCAATCTAAAAATCTTGATAAAAAATAAAATATTCCTAGATTTTTAACTAGATCAAATCAAAACAGTACAAAAAATGTAATGGTTGGATTTATTTATCTTTGTGGTATTTCAGTGTTTCTCTAGTCTAACACCATTGTTGCAGTCCCTGAGTGGCAGGGCAGAGCCAAGATTGCCTCCAGCTGGTCCGGATCCTGGTGACTAGTCTTGGTGCTTATAAGGACCTTTGAATCATTCCCTCGATGCTGGAACATTGTGACACCCTTGGTAAAATGAGTTCAGCCCTGAAAGCTTGATCATTTGATTATAGCTAACCTGTGTAATTCCTTGTGTCCTTCAGTCCTGACTCCATGGCTCGCTACTATGGAACCATCTCTCCTTGTGTCTGCAAAGCTGAATCCTCCAGTGAAAGTGTCTTGGTAAGATCCACCAGCTATTGGACATTCACTTAAAAGACAACAGTGAACCAGTAATTATTTTTCTGGCTTTTAATAGTAATTTGTCATTGATGGAGAAATCCTTGATAAACAAGATTTTAAGGTAAGGATGTAGAGCCAATACAGAGTCAGTGAAATATAACTTAATGACCATTGTTCTCATTTTTCTGTCTAAATCAATATTTTTCTGAAAATGGTTACATTTGTGTAATCTTTATTAAACAAATAATAAAAATGACATGATATTTAGTTGTTCATTTCCTCAGGTGAGCTATAATTACCATTTAAACTGACTTGTTGTATACTGTAACCTGTGTGCTTCTGTGTAAATTATGCTAATCTGACAAACATGATCACTTATATTGTGCATAATACTCTGATGAGAAACATGCCCCTTAACCATTAGACACAATTAGGCTAACAAATCATCTCTTTGTCTGCACACATTTGTCAGGGATTCTCCTGTTTAATTTCTCATTCTGTGCAGAGACACGTCCACGTAATTATGAGTCAATGAGCAATTAAAGCTGCAGTTAATATCAGTAGGAACAGTGATTAGGGGCGAGAGTAACAGAGATGTTAGTAGCTTCACAAGTCTGTCTGTCTAAACTTCAGTTTTCAATCAGTCATTCTGCACTCCATCCTCCCTTCCAACCTCCTTCTTTTCTGCTCCTTGAAGTGCTGATGGAGGAAAATGTTTCCATTATTCATCCTCTTTTTTCCCTCTTCTACTTCTACTGAAGAGGTGCTACATGTCAATGCAATATCTACTGTCCTCAACCTCTTATTACTTGTTCACTGCTTCTGTTTTTCTTCCTTTTTTTACATTTTCATTATGTTTGCACCTCCCTCACTCTTTCTGTTCATCCTGGTGTCCACAGTGCAACCCTAGAAAGGGATGTGTATTTTCCTACCTTAAACAGAGAACAGTTGAAGCATAAAGATCTCAGGTTGTGCGAGTCTTTACATGTGGAGTTTGCATGCTCTCTCTGCTCGTTTGGGTTTTCTCCGGATAGTTCTCTCTTACAGTCTGAAACGTGGATGTTAGAGTCATTTTGTATTTCTAATTTGACCTCAGGAGTGAGTCTGTGCATGCCTGATGTATCACTGTGATGGACTGGGAACTGATAGGCTTTAAATCACTTTGCATGTATTAAACAAAAACAACAACTAATGTTTAATTTTGCCCTTAATATATTTATTCACCTAGTGTACAAACACCTACATTGTTTTTTTTTATTCTTGAGAGTTTAACTTACACCTTGGTTATCTTTATAATATGAACTTTGAATTTCAAGGTTCTTAATATACCATATTTTTCAAACTATAAGGCACATTAAGCGAAACAAAACAGTCAGATAAGTCAAACTTTATTCAACTCATTCACAATAACCACATAAAATCGGTTCGAGGTCAGTAAACGCAACCAGAATGAATACATACGGCACACCTGATTATAAGGCTCATTGTCAATTTTTGAGAAAATTTAAGGATTTTAAGTGCCTTATAGTCCAAAAAATACAGTATATGAATTGCAACTTATTTAAAAAGGAACTATTAACCTCCTGAGACCCGAGCTTTTGTATAGTGTGCATTTTTTCTTTCTCCAAGGTGGAGACCTAACAAGTTAAATAACTAGACTTTGTCATGGTACATGAAGTGTTTGTTTTTTTTTCTTTAAATGTCCTCATATGAGAACAGTAGGTTTATTTGTTGTGTTTTATATTTGTCCTTGCAACTTGGGATCAGAAGGTCCCAATTATGCTACAAACAAACTTTCAGTTTTCTATGATAAGCATTTCTCTAAAAAATGAATGTCCACATATAAAGACACATGTTTTCCTGAACCATAAAATGGTGCAATTTTGAAAGAGTTTACTCCATAGTTTTCTAGATATGCTGTTATGCAGTCCTAAAATGCAGGTGTGCACTCAGTGTGAACAAAGCACTCGGCCCATTGCTCAAAAAGAAGAAGAACAAAGAAAAACCCTGTGAAAGCCTTAATTACATATTGAACATTAGGCTGGTTGTAGTCTGTGCAGGTAAATAAATATGTCAGTTTAGAACAAGTGTAGAATATCAGCAAAGTCATTTAAGTGGAAATATGAGTGAATCTGTCAAGAACGAACCACAAATGTTTAATTTAAGGACTCATTAATATGAGATAGATATTGTGCAGATTTTCTTTATTACTTCATCATTTTTTGATCGGTCATCGTGATTTACAATGAGCACTTTTAAAGTGCTCAGAACGTCAGATGAGTTCATTTTGTGTTTAACCAAGTCTCTACTAATACCACCTTATATCTGTTTGTACAGAACAAAAATAAAAGCAATATCAGTAAATTAGAGGACACATGAAGCCAAATTTTGATCAGCTGTATACTGATAAATTTTGGATAATTATGCTGATGTTATTCTGTATGGAATCATAAAACATGATCCCTGAAGTAAAAACAATACATTGGTGCATTCATATGCTAACACAGATTATTAAAAACCCTGAAGCTTTGGCAATAACATGACGTGCATTGTTAAATAGTGTTACATTTCAAGATGTCTGGAGACTGTCCTGTCAGTCTTAACTGTTTGGGTTTATGTATGGTGTGGTTGGTTAGTGAAGGTGATTTAAACACACAATCCTCTGGAGATGTTGCTGTGAACAGGTACTCAGCCTCAGTTTTAAATTAAAAACATTATTTTGGGTGTAGATTTTGATCATCCTATTTTTAAATGAAAAAAAAAATTCAATTTTCCCAAAACGTTTTCTTTTTTTTTATTTTGGGGAAGGTTTCTTTCGTTTTCTGACTAGCTGTTTGTATATTGATCATTTATTGTTTAGTAAAACTACACTGTAAAATGTAGACTACCATACTTGCTGCCGTACACGTCGCACCGCCGTGAAAGTCACATCTATTATGCGTCACCACTGACCACCCGGATATGTGGGCCGAAGTTGTGCCAAAAATCGATTGGCTGCCAAATGGTGGCCGCGGGAGTGTGCACGGGAGAACTTTAACAAGAATTTAACAAGATTAACACTTAAAAACAATTATTTGTTTGTTCAAAAGCACACACTTGTGCTTGTGTGTGTGTCTGTGCACTGCTGCGTGTTTGCACAAGCTCTCTCAGCAGGAGTGAAAGCACATGGGATGAAGGGCACGGACGGCTAAACACATTTAGTCATAAAACAATCTCTCAGCAGAGGTTTTTCCCAGAAACTGTCACAGATATGTGTTTTTAATTGAGAGAGAGAGCAGTTGCATTGTTTCTGAGAACAAAAAGCAAACAAGGAGGAGAACACCTGAATGCAACTTCTTCAACAGGATTTAATGAGAACCTCTCACCTCTGGCTGATCTGGAAAAAAAATCTTTATGGCCTCGTTATACACAAATGCCAAGTAATCGAATGAACATATGTCCATGTAAATCCTTTTGAAAATTTTTTTTACTTGGTAAGAACATAAAAACATTTCATATTTGCTTTAACGAGGTGTAAAAACATGATCCAATGTATTAGGAGATGATTGTTGTATTGTCGGGCAGTCACCGTGGCGCAAATGGTAGAGCTGCTGCCTCTCAGCGAGAAGGATGCCGGTTCAAATCCCTGTCCGGGGGTCTTTCTGGGTGGAGATTGCATGTTCTCTCCGTGCATGTGTGGGTTTTCTCCGGGTACTCCGGTTTTCTCCCATGGACCAAAAACATGCATGTTAGGCTGATTGGTAACTCTAAATTGTCCATAGGTGTGAGTGAAAACGTGAATGGTTGTTTGTCTCATTTGTCTCTATGTGTCTCTGTGATGGACTGGAGACCTGTCCAGGGTGTCCCCCGCCCCTCGCACAGTGATTGCTGGACATGGGCACCAGCGACCCCCGTGACCCAAAAATGGAAGAAGCAGATAAAGATAATGGATGGATGGAAATTGTGTCCTGACAAGGACAAGGTGCGAAGAGTTCTTTTTTTTTAAATACCACTATCCTATCCTCATGGTCTTTGCCACTTTCTATCTATCTAAAGAATAAGGGACCTCTCTCCTAGGAGCTGCAGCCATGTACACTCCGCCCATCTTTTGGACGACTGTACAAAATATAATCTCACTGTACTTGGTTGCAATGATAATAAAGCTTATCCTGATTCTGAAATATGGAAAAATAAACATAAATATGTCACTTGGCTGTATAAGTCGCAGGCATGCTAATTTATGCAAAAAAACCTGTGACTTATACAGCGACAATTACAGTATATGAAATTTACTGAGAACGTCTTTAAACATTTGTTTTAAATTTGAAAATGTAAAACTATTGTGCACAGCTATAATGAAAAAAATGTTAGTAATGAACTTGCATTTTTATAATCTTTTAAACTACGTAGTACTGAAGCAACATGTTTTTTTTGTTTTGTTTTATATTTTAAGTTTCAAAGTGAAATATAAGAGAATTATTATTCTGGTTTTCTAAAAGAAAACATCTGCAAACACTAAATGTCCAAGTGTAGTCACATCTTTCTAGGGCAACATTCAGCTGAGCCTGATGTCTTATTTTAATTTGGTCATTTGAGTGTAAAAAAAATAAAGCCTCAGTATAAAAATGTGCTATAAATGTATCAGTGATAAAATCACTGCTTTTCAGTTGTCACCTGAATATAAACTGAATGTTTCATGCCAATTTCTTTAGCACATCACGATTGGTTCATCTACCTTCATATTCAGAGTTCAGGTGTTTGTTGTTGTTTTTTAAATGTAAACATGATTTTTTTTCTTTACGGAAGACACAGAGATTAAAAATGTCTTGTGTCAGTCTCTGATGGCTGGTTTTAATGCTCCCTCTCCGTGGGTGTGTGAAATTCACACATGTGAGCACACCTCCTGCCCACCGAGAAAGGAGCCATCTGACCTTTTGCTTGTGCTGTTTCTTAATGAAGACACTGTCATTTGCTGTTTCTATGACGGCGAGCTTCATGCACTCCTCTTTGTTCCACGAGCAGACTGAATTGTTTACAGTGGTCAGAGGTAATGAGCTGCGTTCCTGTAAAACTCAATCTGCCAGTCAAATTAGCTGGTCTGACTGGGCTTTGGAGGTGCTGAAGAATCCTGCCTTCACATTGTGCTGAACCAAAAGTGAACAGTGACATCCACTGGCCTTGTGGGATACTGAAATATTGAGCAACAAAACAAAAACAATAGAAATTCGTTTATTTTTGTTTAACTTGACTTATCCTATATGAAGGATATGTAATAAAAAAAAAAAAGATGAATATTTGTCTTTGTGCATGTGTTTGTGCTTGTTTGTCTGTAAGCAAAATATGTCGTCAAGGTCAAGGTTTCTTTATTGTCATTTGCACCTCATGTGGTACATGTGGTGGAATGAAATTGTGTACACAGGATCCCAGTTACATCCAACAAAAGTATAAATTGTAAAGAAAAACAGTAACAAGATCTAAGATATGAACTAAGAAATGTGCTAAACTAAGAATACACTAAGCACTAATAGTACAATACTCAAATTTGTCGTGAGGCGTTAGACAGATTTTAAATAAACTAACAGAAAGTAATCACTGCATGTTAATCTACAACTGGTGAACTTCAAAGTTCATGCTCAATAATCCAGGTAAAAACATCCAACAAAGTTAAGTCAGGTCCTCTGCACTTTTTTTTGTTGTTGTTGTTGAAACATTTCATCCTTCATCCAAAGGACTTCATCAGTCCGAGGAGCCACAGCAAACCCAGTCCCATAAGTGACTTACTCTTATAGTGGGCCAACCAGTTTGATGGTGATAAGATGGTTTCTGGAGTCCTCGTCTCCATCCAGAGGACTTGACTTAAGTTTGTTGGAGTTTTTTTACCTGGAGTATTGAGCATGAACTTTGATGTTTGAAACACTTTGGCTATGGCTGCCTCAGAGGAGTCGATGTGGGAGAGAGCGGAGTCCAGAAACCATCTTATAACCATAAAACTGGTTGGCCCACTATGTGAGTAAGCCACTTATGGGACTGAGTTTGTTCGGACTGATGAAGTCCTTTGGATTAAGGACGAAACGTAAAACAACAATAAAAAAAGAAACCGTCCAGAGGACCTGACTTAAATTTGTTGGATACAACTGATTAACTTCAAAAGTCTACTCAATTCAAGATGGCCACCACAGCTAATCTAAAACAGCCAATTAAAAAATTGCTTTTACTCAGTTAATTTTACATAAATGAAGTTTAGCTCTTTCACACATATAAAAATAAACATGTCTACTATTTGACAACACTGTGTTTAATACAAAATCCTCATTTGCAGAACAAACACTTTAAACTACGTGACACGTATTTTACACACCAGCACAGATGATGTTTTGAAGTGATTTAAAGCACCAGGCTGCAGTTGAACTGTGTTTGGGGTGAAAGTGTGCAGCAGCCTTGCAAACTGTTCTCCGTGAATCCTCCTCGTACCGTCACGTTCCACGGCTCGTGCATCGTCACACTGAAATTTAAACACACGCACATCCTCACTGTGAAGCCTCACATTCTCGCACCAGCACCAGCATCATTGACTCCAAAAACATTTCCCAGTTCTGTCCAGAGAAGTCAGAAAAAAGTGAGCAAATTAAATAAGAATGTTGTTCCAAACAATAAAACAGCACACACACCTGTTGTAAAGCTGTGTGCAGCAGTCCAGCAGCTGTTTGCTGCTGCTTGTGTTGGTGTTGTTGAACTCTGTGCTCAGAAAAGTTGGGCAATCAGGAATGTACAACATACCTACAAACCAACAAGTAATTAAATAAACTTAGTACCATGTGATCATTTTGTGCGAAATAAGGCAAACAAAACTGTTTATGTTAACACAAGTTGTTTTAGGTATGTACATTGTAATGAAAAAAATGGTTCTTTCTGCATTGTCTTAAAAAGTTGCCAACATTTCAGGCTGTAAAACATTACATGTCATTAAATAATTGTCTTAATGAAGGAAAAGGTTTGTGTTACCTGTTGACAAATTGTTAGAACAAACAGTCACCATCATTTATTCACAACTGTACTTTGGTGTGAGCAGCACCACCTAGTGCTAAAAAAAGCTGAATTCAAAAATGAGTAACAAAGGTCATGCTCAATCATCCAGGTACCAAATCCAATATATATATATATATATATATATATATATATATATATATATATATATATA